TTATTATTGCTAATTTTAATGTAAATAATGTTACAAATTTATCATAATTTTAAATTATAATATATAATAATAGAAATCATTAATTAATGCTTTAAATAATTTTAATATAATTGATTAGATTTTATTTAACTTTTGAAGCAACATGCCAATTTTTTAAAAAGTTTAAAATAATAATATATATAATATTATACGAGTAATTTGTATTATTAAATGTACATCATGAAAAAGTAAAAAAATAAAAAGTATTTTATAGTATTCATAAACTTTATTTAATTCACAAAGTAGCTTGTTATAATAATCATAAAAAAGTTATAAAAGTATAATATATTAATTATAAATACTTTTTTATCTTTTCAAAAACATCATGGCTTAGCCTTAAGTTTAAATCAGTCATGCATGGAGCTGAAATAGTTATAACATATTGTTTAATGTCTATGTATCCTTGTATTTCCATTTGCTCTGGATTTAAGCATTCTTCCTTATCTACAGAGTACCAATGGCACAGTACTCCCACAATATTTTTATTGCCTTTAATTCGCGCAGTGTTACTGGAGTATTCTCTTGCCTTCCAGAATTTTTTTTCCATATAGGCAAATCCAAGGACAAAACCTATTAAGCATTTTTTTATTTCAATATTTTTAAATAAGCACCAGTCTCCAATCTGTATTTCCTCGCGAGTTTCACAAAAACTAAGACCAGAAGTCTTTCGAGTCATCAAACGATACTTAGAAAATTCGCATTCTCTTACACGCTGTAATCTATCACTGCTTAAATTACAATTATTTCGGTTTAATAACCAACATATGGAAGATTTCCGAACAACAATCTCGTTATTCTGTCCATTTTTTACAATGGTAAAAGGACTGTCAGATTTTATGTCAGTTTTATTTTTATCGTAACCACGAAGGTTCAACGATCCTTCAATACACGATAAAACAGTCAAATCTTCTAATAAGTTAAAATCATCAGATTCATTGTCCAGCATACTTTGCGCATCAGAACTGTGATTAGAAGTCTGATCTCTATCCTGATTGTATAATGAAGGATCGTTAGCATCATCTTCTTCTAAACGTATAATATCGCCGATTTCAATGTTTTTTATGTTAATGAACTGTGATTTTGATATGTCAACATTCATACCTAACATTGAAATATCTGAAAATGCTTCTAGTTTCGCTTTTTCAATAGTTTGCTGTATCTCTTCAATGCCTGGAAGTGATAAATTTATTACATCAGAAGTCGAACTAAACTTTTTAGCACGCGGAAAGCTGAATCCTTGCTCAGTTGCAACAGAGCTCATTGAGGATATGTCACTCTGTAACTGTATACGTTTAATTCTGTGAATACTTTCCAGGAGACTGCAATTGACAATTGTTGAGCAAGTAGAACTCATTGATCGTAAGTGACGAAAAAAGCTTTTGCATGGTTGACTGCTAAATAAAAATGGTACAAAAAGTTCGGGTTGATTCATCTTATTTAAAATTAAAATCACATTTAATAAATTTTGTCCATTGATTTCTAAACATACGTATGTATTGAGAGTAATGAAATTGTTCGTTATAGAATATTCCGGTATATCATTCAAATAAGCTCTCCATAAACGTAAAAAAAAGATACAATACCATATATTGAAAACGCGTTCCAAAGGGGTCATCAATTTACATAAAAACGCATTAAGAGCCCGATGAATAATATTTAAATATGCTATTGTAGCGTCACTTCCAGGGACATTAGTTTTTAAGAGCTCGCGCACTCTTGGATGAGATATTTTTATGACAGCATCAAAGTTCATTTTATCCTTGAGTGATAAGTCTTTTTGATTTAAACAGTGTTTATCTTTAGAAACAATTTCGTAAAGAATTTTTAAATGACTTGCTGAAGCAATGTAACTACCCATTGGCAATACGATAGAATTCTTTAGAAGTCTTGTTCTCAATTTAGTGCCAATATGCACAGTGTCTTGAATGAAAGACGTATTCAACATAATCGAGTTAGGATTTGAATCCAATTTTAATACTGGTGAAATTGTTTGCCTTTCTCCTGCCTTCCTAATAATGCCAATGTTTGACGATATTTTCATTGCTTTAAGTAACCTCGGATCTCCATCAGAAGAAATGCCAAGTACTGTTATGCCAGCGTCTTTTAATTTTTGAATCATATAATTCCAACGCTTAATTACATCATCAGCTGTAAATTTGTTATCAGAACTGTATAAACATAGGCAAAATGAAGGAGCATTTTCTACTAATGGCTGTGCTATAATTACGTACAATAAATTAGCTGCTGTATTATTAATAAAATACTCCTCAATCTGTTTTGCAGAAGTAGCCGTAAAAGAACTTTTTATAGGCATGCCATTTTCATCTAATGGCAAGGAAAAGCCTACAAGTTGATTCGTTTTAGAATCATATTGTACCCGACCTGTTATTCTGGTTGCGTCTTCGCTAAGCCATAGAACTGTAGGTAAATTTCTTGACTGTAAGAAATTTACTAATTCTGCAACACGAATATCGCCTTCAATTATTATTGCACTTGAGTCATCTAAAGTACGGCTTACCGTGCTTAACGAAGGCAGTGGCAAATTTGTACACAACGTTTTGTATAGCATTCTACCCCCTATAATGTATAGATAAGTTGCAAACAGCTTAAGGGTATCATTATACCGAGCACTTTTCTTTTTGCCTGTGTTTTTATTAGCAGTATCTACTAAAGATTTTAAAAACGAAGATTGTGTTACGGTTGATGCCGGATAAAATTCTTTATTAGAATTATTGCTCGACTTTTCCAAAAAAAGTTTTAAAGCATTACTTAATTCTTTATTTTTTTGAAGTTCTATCTGTAATTGATTAAGAACCGGAAAGTACATAGAAATTCGCGGTTGGAACTCATCTACCGAAAACAATTTTCGCTTTTTTCTTGCCAAGCGTGTTTGGCGCAAAGAACTACGTGATTGAATCTTGGGTCGAACATTTGTTATAGAAATTAATTTTCCCACGAGATGATTCGTTCGATAATCATCTCGGGTTAGCATTCCCCCGTCGCCGTTCCATCTTGTATATTATCCTTTTTTGATGACACAGTTGACTGCGATGTTGAAGTTGAGGCTTCAGGTTCCTTTGGAGAAACTATCAACATATTTGTATTTGTAGAGTCAACTGGCATTGAAATAATAGAAGTGATGGAGAGATCCTCGGAGACATCGGTACCTTCTGAAAGCAGCAACTCATCATCCACTATGGTGTATTCAGCAATTACATCTCCAATTACATTGCTGTTAGAATCGTAGTTTGTTTCCTTTTGAAGAGCGGGTGATTTGGCGGACGCTTGCAGCAAGTGAAGAACATTACTTGAGGACTTGTCTCGCTTTTCAGTAAGTTCAGTAGATTTCTGGTGTTGGAAAATGTGTCTTTTGAAGTTGGAAATTATCCATCTGGAACTTTTACCTTTTGTTGTTCCACATTTTGTGATATTGGTCACAAATAAACACGATGGACAAGTAATTCCAGCAACATATGTAAATCCTTGAGGGTAAGTTTCTCCATCATAAATTTCCTTAATTGAAACTTCGATCTGTACGTATCCTTTCAACAAGTTACTCAATTTTTTATTTAGATTTTTGTCTTGACTGAAAGATTTAACAAGCTTTGTTAATTTATTAATTTCTTCCCTGATATTAGGATTCTTCTTTTCATGTAGTTCAGATTTTTTCTCGGATTTTAAAATGTGCTTGTCTTCGGGTTTAGAAAGTGCTCGTTTTTTACAAGACGGTTCTCCAAATTCTTCGCAGTCTGTCGATGGTAACTTCCAATAATCCTTCGGTGCTTGTTTAACCATTTTAACCAGCTCCAAGATTAGATGTCTGTCTCCAATCATAAAACGAAATTTTTCAGGCATGTTGTGAAATATTCCGAAATAGTCTCTCATATTGGAGTTGGGTTCGATAAAAGATATCATCACAGTTTGAGCAAAGATTTCGATTTCTTTTAATACATCTTCCGTAATGTTCCGAAATGAAAGAGGATTGTCCATGTTATTTAAACGCATAATGTTTTTAATAGTTGGGGATATGTATGCTCCGCTATCCCTTTCTAGTATATTCCAGAAATTACATTGTCGTTCATCATTGGTAACTTGGGAAACTAGAGAAGAACCCTCGGGAGAAACCGAGGGAGAAACATTCTTTTTCTTCAATTCTTTATCTTTCTCACTCGCTTCGTCCATTTCTCTGTAAAGATTATACATATTTAACTTCAAATTGATAATTTATACGACAATTATAACATAGAACTTTCTGTGCTGGCTGAGTATTTATTATTCATAATCTACTTATAGTTATTAAAATATAGAACAACACGTCGTGGTCAGTGTTGTAAATAAAACCATGACCACCATTCATGTAGTATTATATTTTATATATACTTCAATATTTAAAAGGAATACTCTTTGTGATGGCCTTCTTTTAACTAAGCTCCCGACTAAGATTTATTAAACTTATTTACAAATGTCAGAACTAAACTTTAATTGTTACTTAAAAAACAGGTTAGGACAAATTAAGGTTATGAAATTAGAAGTACGCGCAGTGTGTTATAATATTTTAAACTTACCTTTCAAATTACGTCTTCATACGTTGTATTCTTAAACCGACGGTTAAATTTAGCGGCCTATTCTTACGATTATGCCCGAGATGCCTATGGAACTTTCCCGTGTCTCTCTGACACCCGACGTGCGCGAAGTCCCTATGCGCACACGCATAATCGTCTCGTGGGCGCATGTTACTAATAAAAGACTGATTTCGTTCTGATTTCAAACGACTCGCAATGATTTCACGCGATTTCTTACTTATTTTTCTTTGATTACATTGATTACGCTTGTAGTTTCATTTAAATGATTTCAAAATATATTGCAAGATTACACGTGATTACGAATTGATTTCACTGTTGATTACCACATGATTACAAATCAGGTGTACACCTGATTTCATTAGTGAATGGCCCCTCGGGAATTTCATTTTGTAAATAGAATTCTTTTTTTTTGGGTGTCGGCAATACAGATTCCCGTAAGTCCAAGGTAGAAATAGGGTAGAAGAATTGCTAAAGGCATCGTAAAACCTTCTCAGCCACCTCTTATAATACACCTATTTGGATTGTACCCAAAAAATGAGAACTCAAAAGGAAACAAATGTTAAGGGCGGCAGTATGGTTTAGTGGTAGAGCGCCAGACTTGTAATCTGAGGAACCAGGTTCGAGTCCACTAGAGCCATGAAGCATGGAATGTTTTTCCGATAGCTGCGCCCCTCCGTGCAAGATAGGCTCTTGTGCGGAGAAAACTGGGTTCCGTCTTTCGGAAAGAGACGTTAAGCCGTTGGTCCAAAGGGTTAAAGTAAGAGGAGAAGGATAGTGTTGGTAGTAGATTGCGGGGATATGCAATAAATTACGAATTTTACAGAATTTACAGGAAACAAATGTTAAAGAATTGTTTTAGATTTTTTCACATTAATTGTCGATTTAACCGAAGAACCAATTAAAAATTTATCTTCCGCGCTTAATCCAGAACCGAATTTCCAAGAGATGGTCAGACATTATTGTATGCGCGGGTCAGACATTATTTATTCGTAACGTTCGAACCGGAAGGCTTCGCCTCTTCGAAGGACGTCGAGAACGGGAGAGGCCGGAGTCGCGGATGCTGCGTCAAGAGATCGACGGGTCCCCTCGCTGATTCTTTTTTGCCTTATTAGACAAGGGCGAGTCGATAGAAACGGAATTGTGACCGACGTCTTTAGACCTTCCTTATAGTTCCTTGTTCAGGCGAACAACTCTCCGTTAATGTGTCTTGAATAAAATTTGCAAAAGGATGGGATTCCTCATTCTTCGTAGTATTTGTGTCAAAAATTTTATCTTGAGCCGCGTCAGAAGTGATATTCGATGTACTACTTGTAATTCTGCCCGTTTGGATATCTTTCAGCTTCTCTAATTCCTCTTGAATTATTTCTGTTGTAATTTGATCGGAATCGAATGTATCCTCTTCTGATTCATCGTAAGCTTCGTCATCTATCAAATTATCGCCATAAAATTTTTCGAAGGGAAAAGGGCAAGTATATGTACTATAAAAAAAAACATAATAAGAACTAACGTTATATAAATTTTACATAAAATTTCCCGTTTATTCTTACATTTAGATTATTATTCCTCCTGAGGTAGTCCAGAATCAGCTAACCATTGGCGGATTGTTATAGACATCCAGCTCCAACCGGAGCACTCTGTGGTGACGCACATACTGGCCTCGTCTCCAAGGACTTCAAGACTCCTCTCCAAGCTCAGCCTCCTCGAATCTGACTGTCGGGACAATACGCAACACACCGCGTTAACACTACACATTAATCTTCTACACAAATCACACACGTCCACCTATCCGTACACATCCAAGAAGTATTCTACTGTATCTAGAGCATGAATAAATAGAGCGAGATTTTACCTAATTGAACGATTCGTTATTGTGGGAACCGACGCACCTTCGCCTATCCTACCCCACAGTCACAAACTGCAATTACTACAATCCCGGTACAACCCGGTACAACAACTGAACAAGACTGGTCATTTCCGATTTTATTAAATCAAGAAAATTACGACGTGAATGTGTTCAACGAATATATCGATTTAGCTGAAGTAATAATGCCTAATGAATCTAACCAATCTAATGAAGGTGACGTAGCTAACGAATATATCGATTTAGATGAAATAATAATGCCTGACAAAATAATAAACAGGTAGAAGAATTGCTAAAAGGAGGCATCGTAAAACCTTCTCAGCTACCTCTTATAATACACCTATTTGGATTGTACCCAAAAAAATGAGGACTCAAAAGGAAACAAATGTTAAAAAATTGTTTTAGATTTTTTCACATCAATTGTCGATTTAACCAAAGAACCAATTAAAAATTTATCTTCAGCGCCTAATCCAGAACCGAATTTCCAAGAGATTACCACGCGTTTCGTTAAATTTTTTTTCTAGTATGTGACACGAAACGTTGGCCAGGACATGGTCGGTGGACTGTGGACCGTGGACCGAAGACACTGTAATTGACATTTGAATATATATTGCTATCCTGACAATAAAGCTGTTTTATATCCAAAACCTTACACATTTTAATAGCGTGATATTGCGAGTGTGGAAGTTTCTCCAAGGTTTCGCACTGATGTTTATAAACATGTTTTTCGCTATAGTAGGCGTGGCGGTCGGATGAGCTTCCCGACAATGATGTTGCCGAAATTCTTCGATAGAAAGCCAAACTCGGTCGCACTTGTTACACTTTCGAAGCGCGGACAGACAACGGACGGACGGGGCCGGGGGCCGGGGGCACACGCGGACCACGTGGTCGCGCACGACGCATGCGCGCCACGTGCGCCCGGACCTAACCTCGCGTGCTCGCGCCGTCCTCGCCGCAATCGGGCTCGCTGCCTCGTGAGCCTCGTGTGTCGCGCGTTATTTCGGCCGTTTCGCGGCTCGATCCTCGCGCGTGCCGCATGCCGATGCACGCGACGAGTCAGCCCGCAGATCAAACGAACGAACAAACGAGAACGGTCGCGGACGAGGATAGATTGCGCGACACCGTGGTGGCGGACTCCGATTATGTTTTTATAATTATGCATAAATTTGGTAAGGGTGTCAACATATTTACTAAAGCATCCCCGGATATTATTTGTTACGGGCAGATAAAGAGGGCAGGGAGGGGGGTGAATCGCGAGTAGCTTGTTATATTCACGATTCGTTGCGTGCGCTGGTTTTGGCGTCGTCGCCTTCCGCCTTCTCGAATGAGCCCAAATTTCTCATTCTCGACATTCGGTGCAGTGCAGGCGGGCATCTTTTGTTCACTTTCATGTATCGTAGACCAAGAGGTACTAACTTTAGTGTTGAAATTAATATATCTAACTTGTATCTACACTGGATATACTCTATGCATTTTATGTACATGCACCCTATCTGCTCCACCTATAGGAGCATCTATGTATGTTCTTGATTAAAGTTTTACTTCCCGTTGGACAGTCGAACTGCGTGGTCGTTTCTCTTTCGCTCTGCTCAACAGGTTATGGGCCCAGGGCCGAAAGATCAAGTCCGAGGGAAAGTCAAGTAATAGTTCTCTATTTGCATTTGTTGCATTAGTCTATCGCGTGTGAATTTTTTTGCATTAGTTGCAAATTAAAAGTATAACCGGCATCTGAAGATACGTGTTCTGTGCATGGAAAAATGGCGTCGGACGGAGAACTATGGGGAACCATCGAGAAACTAAAAGGCAGTGAAAACTACCACACTTGGGCCTTCGCAATGCAGAATGTGCTCGAGTTAAACGGGCTTGAAAAATGCATCATTGATGGTGAAGGTGTCGAAAACGACGCTGATAAATTGCGAAAAGCAAAAGCCAGACTAGCCCTGTGCATCGATACTTCGATTTATGTGCATATCCAAAATTCGGGAAGTGCTGCCGAGATGTGGAAGACATTGAAGACTTTGTACGAGGACAAGGGTCTTACGCGCAAAATCGGTCTCTTGCGAAAATTAATAACGACTCAATTGGAAAGTTGTGAATCAATGGCGGACTATGTGAATCAAATCATTGGAACAGCGAATAAGTTGATAGGAATCGGTTTCCAAATCAGCGACGAATGGATCGGTGCAATCCTATTGGCTGGGCTCCCGGACCAATTCAAACCAATGATTATGGGACTCGAGAGTAGCGACACTAAGATAACCGGTGACGTCATAAAATCAAAGCTCATGGATTCGGCGTATCAGCAACGAGCTGAGAGTGCGTTTCTCGGAAAAGGTGGCGCTAAAAATCAAAAGTACAAAAGCAAACCAAAGTGTTACACTTGTGGTAAAAAGGGACATATTTCAACTGAGTGTAGAAATAAACCAAAAGACAAGGATGAAAAGTCTATCAAGTCAGCGCCAGACAAGGAAAATAAAAGTGCGTTATGTGTAATGTCTACTTCCAATACATCAACGAAGAATACCGACACCGACGGATGGTATGTTGACAGCGGTGCCTCACAACACATGACACCATCGGATAGTTGGTTATGTCAAAAGAAGCAGACGTCAGTAGCAAGTGTTGTGACAGCAAATGACTCAAAAATGACAGTCTCCAGTGTTGGGAATGTGACAACCAAATTACATGGTACCGAAGTGGATGTGAAAAATGTTTTACATGTATCTGAACTATCTACAAATTTGTTGTCAGTTTCACAGACCGTAAAGTTGGGCAATACGGTAGTGTTCGATCAAAGTGGATGTTCGATCTACAACAAAGACAAAGACTGCATTCTAAACGTTAAGCCTGTTGGTGGCGTATATAAAATTCAGGTTGAAAATATTAAGTGTTTTTCGTTACAGGCATCAAGCGATGACATAATGAAGTGGCATCGACGTCTAGGACATATGAATTATACAGATTTGTACAGGATGCGAGATGGCATTGTTGATGGGATCAACTTTAAGGGATCTGCTGACAAAATCAAGGACTGCATAGTATGCTTGGAGGGAAAGCAAACCAGGCTTCGATTTCCTCAAAGTGTAAATCGGTCGGCCAGCATTTTGGATCGAATACATTCGGATCTATGTGGACCCATGGAATGTGCATCAATTGGCGGAGCAAGGTATTTCATAACATTCGTTGACGACCATTCTCGAAAGGTATTCGTGTATTGTTTGAAAGCGAAATCTGAAGCACTAATAAAATTCAAAGAATTTAAGCAGTTCATAGAAACTCAAACTGAAAGGAAGATCAAGTCGATTAGAACTGACAATGGCAAGGAGTATTGCAGC